TGCGGTTTGCGGTCTGCGGTCTGCGTTCATGTCTGCGTGCTTTCATGTAATTTTCAGGTAATTTCAGATGGTTTCAGGTGGTTTCATTGGTGGTTTCAGATGGTTTCAGATGGTTTCAGATGGTTTCAGATGGTTTCAGGTGGTTTCAGGTGGTTTCAGGTGGTTTCAGGTGGTTTCAGATGGTTTCAGGTGGTTTCAGGTGGTTTCAGGTGGTTTCAGGTGATTCCAACTTTAAGTAACTACGGTCGTATACGATTAAGAGGTAAGCAACATTCTCCAATGCATTTGAAATTACTTCACGTTTGAATTTATTTTAATTCTTAAGGAGACAGAAAATTCTGATACTTGAAAACCGTTGCTGCGATCAGTAATGTTATAAAAGCCTTCTTGAGAATCCTTTTAACAAATGCAGGGAAATCGAGATGATCTTCAGTCAGATAATAATTGATATTTACTAATTCCTGGGCACCTGTCGACCGAATAACAGAATCTACAGGAAATTTATCAGGGTTTTGTGCACGAGCACACTGTTAAGCCAATTAATTAAACCCCCAACATTTATCCACAAGGGAATTTTATTCGAAGAGATATTTTCCTGATTTCTCCACGCGCACAGGCAGCACGTAAATGTTTTCCGTTTTGACATATTGAGACTGATCGGTTTACGTAAAGCAGTCGACAATTTCTTCAATCCAATTGAAATTTCCTCGATCGATCGCAAATCACCTTTGTGAATAAGTTCGTTGCTTGGTATTACCACAGAGAAACACATAATTTTTGCTCACTAATTTATTAGATTCCTCATCGAGGATCAGACGAAGTACAAAACATTTGCCTCGCCTACAACATTTGTTTTTGTAACTTGTTCGACAATTGCAATGGGACCTAAAAACACGTGAAAGCACAAGGTCGAAACCTGTCGAAGACTGAACATTTTTGCTTTCCTTTCTCCACGATTTTATCAACTGTAGTTCACTTGTGAGGATCAGTTCGTTATTTCTTATCAGCCATAGGTCACGATAAGATTTATCTCATTTATTTGAGAGAGCAGATAGTCCAAATGTGCCGTTACATAGGTGCAAAGGAAACTTCTCGTCGTGAACACCTTTTACTCTTTGTAAATTTACAGAAACTGAGGCTGTCATCAGCCATTAGCCACAATAATCGGGAAAGCACGGATGAGTATGATTGTTTTTACTAAATACAATCTTTTCCCGTTTTCCTTCTTTATTTTGCATGCGCAGATAGATGAAGTAAAGGGGAAATGTTTTCTCTGACCAGTCCCTCCTGTTCGTAGCTAATTTTCTCCATCAATGAGTTTGCATGCTTTTCCAAATTAAAGGATTAAATTGCCAATGCAGATGTACATTCACTTTCTACATAATTTTTTTCATCAGATATGTTCAATTTGATCGACTCAAATTTAACCAATTTATGCATTTCACCTACAACGGCTATCCAATTTCGTTTCTCCTATTTCATTTCTTAGTCGATGCCATGTAGTTATGATTAAAAACACACCTTGTGATCCCGGAGTCGTAAGATTGTATGTAAACGCAGGTTCTTTATGGCTTAAACTACTTGCGAAACTAAACGAAACGAAACCAGGTGAGATATAACGAAACTAAAGGGATAATGCCAATATATTTTCTAATATGTAGAGGTAACTTTCACAAGAATTTTGGAGTAATCATTAACTGATAAGAAGGATTTTTTGTTCATTTCGCAAAGTAGTAATTAAGAAGAGTTACTGTTGTGCGAAATCGACTTTTTTCGCCCTGCAGTGACAACTTGACCTCTTTAATGTCACAAAAAATAATTTACACATTACAAATTAGCATATTACCACCGTATTTTTGTGACCCACAAAGAAAGACATTGTTACTGAAGAATGAAAATCGCCCATTTCACAAAACAGTATCTCTTGTAAAATATGTCTTAATAAGGTTTAAGAAATAAGAGGAGGCTAAAATCCTTGGTAATATGCTAATTTATGATGTTTAGATTTATTTTTGTGACATGAAAGAGGTCACGTTATCATAGTCGATGTCGCAAAAAAGTAACTCATCTTAAATTACTAAAAATCCTTATTATTACACCAAAATCCTAGTGAAAGTTATCTTTACCTTATTATGAAACAAATCAGCACTATTCCATTAGTTTTCCAGATATCCCGGGTCACCTTGTTTCGTTTCGTTTCACAAAATAGTATAAGCCGTTATTTTTCTACCACGGCTTGGCGGGTTACCTCGCCTACCAGAGATCCCCCGCTTTCGTGTAAACAGGCCCTTAAGCTCTGAAAATTGCATATCTAAATTACATCTCGGTCTAGATAGGGCCTGTTTACTTGGACGTGGGGGACCCCTGGTAGGTGAGGTAACCCGCCTGTCCATACTATCAACCATGCACTACTCATGGCATCTTGACGGGTTCCTCGCGTAACCTAACACAGCGTAACACAACGCTTTCATGAATAAATTGGATATATCAACAAAGTTGAAGTGGTAAATTGGCCACCGTAACGATTCCAAAAGCTGACGTTTCGAGCGTTAGCCCCTCGTCGGAGCGAATGTTGATATATCCAAATGCTTTCATGAATAAATAGATACGTGTCCAAGAAATAATAGAGATTTAGCAACGCGTTTCAAGTAAAACAGCGTTAACCTCGCTGCTTAAGCCTCGCCTGAGCTCATGTCATGGTGGATTTAAAGGCGCCTTGTCTGACTCAAAAGGAAGAGTTTTGGTGCTCTTTTTCCGGCAATTAACTTCTACTCTGTGAGAGAAAAAGGGAAGAAAATATTACGTCCACGGCAAAAGCGAAAAGGTTACTTACACTTAGAAACAGCAAAGCGGAACCTGCGATCGTGAAAAAAATGGCGTGAAAAACATGGTCACTTGGCCGCTCTTGCCGTTCACGTTTCACATAAAGGCGGTTCTAAATCTCTCTGATCTTTCGTCTTTCTCGAGACGTGAGCTTGGGACACCTATGCTTAAACTTTCTCATTACAAGCGCAACAACAATCTCGAGAAACTTTACCCCAGCATGTACACGCCTTTTATTTTTCGACTAGTCTGGAAGGGTTACCTCGACTACCTGAGGTTCCCAACCCCTATGTAAACAGGCCCTTTAAATGAATTGTTAATAAACTCATTTGTAGTACGGTATTGTTTAGAATTCAAGAGCTGTTTGAAGCGTCTTTGTACGAAATAACTTTTGACAGAAAAGCTTGCAATCATAGATTCAAAATGTGGATCGCTCGTTGAAGCTAACCATTCAACAGAATGTGGATTTAGAAAGGTCACCGACTATTTTAAGTGAATCGAATGGTTCATTTCATACTTTTGACCCTCATGCTAGAAACGGTGATGGTATGCCAAATTCTAATGGCATAGTAACCTTATTGAAACTTGGAGATTTGGGTGAACTTGGAACATTCTTTTGGGAAAGAGTTCCATGTAACCCCATACATTAATTATGCATTCATTTCATAAAGACTAAATATAAAGGTTTCTTTGCGAGTTATCCCCAACAGAGCGTTTACAAGGCAGCTAGGGTTACCCTAGCTGCCTTGTAAACGCTCTGCTGGGGATAATTCGCCTACCCGGGACAACTTTTTACTTGTTTCCAGACCCTTTGAACATTGATAACAATGCGTGCGGTTACCAAGCATAGGTAAGTTGTCCCGGGTGGTAGGGTAGCCCCACCTGTGAAATTTTCCTTGTAAACCCGGGCTATCTTTGACCCGCCTGCTAGGGTAACCCTAGCACAAGGGTTACCCTTCTTGCTTGTAAACAGGGCCTAAGAAACACAGTTGGGCCAGATTTGTTCCAGGTTGCATGATGGGTTCCACGCGGGCTAACGAGTTGTACAGGCCAGCATTAAGGCGAAAAAAAATACCGACTCAAATACAGCATGATGAGACCATTATTTTCTCTTGTTCTAATTTCGGTGTGTTTTAGGACATTCTGCGAACTTCGATCCTTTAAAATTTTGACGCGCGTTTCCACAGCCTCAGTGAACTTACTGTCAGCTGTTCAGTTCCATATCACGCGCTTATTTAGCGTGCAGAACAGGCCAGGAGTCAATCACTTGACGAGCGTGTGCTCAGAATTTCTCTCGTCCCCTCCCCCTCACCCGGTCCACTTCAAACCCCAATAAAACAAAGCCGGTCAAATGACCGCCGCATTTTTCGCTTTTTCTGTTTTGATAGAAGAAACGTCCTTTGATCCACTTCTGGTTCAGTCACATGCATTCTAAACTCGTGATCACCTGTAACATCACAAGATATAGTTATGATTATTGTGAGTTACTTGTACACGATTTGCCTTTGTCATCATGTGACCATGTGGTGTGATCCTTTCTAAAACAACACTTAAAAAGAAAACCTCCCAAAAATAAAAGCATTCTCATGATAACGTCAGAGGGGTATTTATATTTTTGCTTTTTTTGCCTGCCTATTTTGAGAACCGAGTGAAATTTCGTCCGGATATGACTTTTACCGCCATTTCTCCAAACTGCTTTAAACGATGAATCACATTTCACAGGAACCTCGCTTGCTTAAAGAAAGTTACTGCGTTAATCAGCCATGGAAAAATCAGCCATGGTCAAGAATCGAGATGTAAATCGGTAGGCGTTTAGAAAGTTAAGGGGTGAAAACCTCTCTATATGATTTTATCATAGACGGCGTGTGACCGGTTCTTAACCCTGTAACAACATTTGCGTAAGTAAGGCCGAATGACCACAACAACGAGTTTATACGTTGTCTTGGGTACCGTAGACAAATTACAAGCTTTGTTAGTCCGCTCCATGCCATGTTTTTTTTTATGCAGGATCAAAGTGGGGTCGCTCCATATGAATGATTCTGGCTTGTTCCCCTCATTCTTTTTAGCTTTTTTGCCTGATTTCGACATGTTTTTAACTGTTTGAACTGGTGCACGTAAACTGAAACATCGAATTCCCGCGGCTGCTAAATGCCG